AGTAGGTGTTTATTTCTTCCTTGGCAGCCATAGTGGCTAACAGCTAAGCTCCTTGTCAGACACTCGCTTGCTTGCTTCCCTCTCAATGGCACAGGGAGAAAATGGGAAGAACGGGAAAGCTCGAGAGTTGAGATAAGGACATGGTCATCGTTTACCACTTGCCATCATAGGCAAAACAAACTTTACTTGGGGAAAATCAACTTAAATTATTGCCTATTAAAATAAACACTTATTAATTCAGGTAGTGGAAACAAAAAGACACATTAGAACACCACCTTTCCTTCCCCCTTTTCCAGGCTCAGCTTCACTCCAGATTCCCTTGTGACCACCACCACCCCTGTGGTACAAGGGTCATGGGCGTGGGGTGTCCACAGTCTGTGCCTAATGGTTTCTCTCTGCCATTGGGCTTCCCTCTGCTGTTTCATCATTCTTTTTGTTCCCTTTTTCTCTCTCCCTCCAGCACTTTTTGCCCTTTCTTAAATATGGTTTCCCAGAGGTTTGCCCAAATGGCTGCTGGGCTCAGCTGTGTCCTGCAGTGGGTCTGTTGGAACTGGCTAGAACCGTCTGTGTCTAGCACAGGGCAGCCCCTGGCCTCTCCCCACAGATGCTGGCAAGACCTTGCCATGGACACCCAATATATAGCCATATACTTTTCATCTGGCAATTTTCCATTTTACAGAGTGGCGCATCAGGTCAGCAAAAAGGGGCTAGTCAAAGCAGTAGTTAAGAATTACTTACTGACAGTTCTCTGAAAACATTGTTTTGCTGGTTATTTTCTGTGCTGCTGCACATTGCAAAAGGCAAGGCATCATCAGGAAAGGTACTGAAGACAAGACAGTGTCATGATGTTGGTATGAAAAACCTTATCGAGGTTTACCACAGTATGATGGATAAGGTAAAGAGAGAGTTGTTAATTACTGAATCTCACAATATGAGAACTAAGCAGGGCTCGCTGAAACTTCTAAGAAGGGAAAAACAGATAAGGGGCAGCTTCTGCACAGCAGTTTGTGAACATCAGGAACTGCTGTGACAGGAGGTTGTGGAGATGGACAGTGTCACTGGGTTCAAAAAAGGCCTTAGGCAGCTTCCCAGCTAACAGAACCAAGGCCAGAAACTAAAGCTAGAGTAGGCGGGGATGTATCTCTTGGATCCCTAATCCAATGGTAGCAGCTACTGGGAGAGCAGGAGAGGAATGAGCTGCAGGTAGTGGCCAGGCTCATATGCTCTTCTGCGCTAGGAGTGGAGTTTTTCCCATGCCTGAAGACTGGGTAGAGTAGGTTGTTTGACCTAGTAAGGCAGTTCATAATACCTAGTGAAAGGTTTTCTGAAACCCAGAAAAAAACAAGAGAAGTTTGCTAGAATCAATACAGCAATACCAGTTGTAGGAACTCAAGGGTGACCCATACAGTTTCTGTTACTTGCTTTTACCCCCTACCCCCCCATTTCTCTAACATCACTAGTCTGGAGCAGTTTCAACTGATTGCGGTCCTGATTATTTTGAAGATGACATTTGATCACACTTAGTTATATCTCGGTATTGCTGCACCTGATCATAGAATGCTTTGGGATGGAAGGGACCTTTAAAGGTCATCTAGTCCAGCCCCCCTGCAATTGGCAGGGACATCTTCAACGAGATCAGGTTGCTCAGAGCCCCATCCAGCCTGGCCTTGAATGTTTCCAAGGATGGGGCATCTACCACCTCTCTGGGCAACCTGTTCCAGTGTTTCACTACCCTCATGGTAAAAAATTTCTTCTTTATATCTAGTCTGAATCTATCCTCTTTTAGTTTAAAACCATTACCCCTTGTCCTATCGCTACTGGCCCTGCTAAAAAGTCTGTCCTCATCTTTCTTATAAGCCCCCTTTAAGTATTAAAAGGCTGCAATAAGATCTCCCTGCAGCCCTGATGATCTGGTGCTGAGAAGCAAAGGCTAGAGGTTGAGCCGTTTCTTTGAAGATCAAAATCATTTAATTTGCACAGAAGTAACTTAATCAGAAGACCATGAACAGCAGACCCGAAAAACTTCTACTAATTTTTTTTCTATATTATTCAGTGTTCCGTAGTATTGTTTATGAAGACTGTTGTCTTGGTAGTCATGGCTTCAGCTCAAGAGCGGAAGTAATTCCATGTCTTTTATTAAAACCACTTTACAGAGTGGTTTTTCTCTTCCTGATGTCATTCATTTCTTGTCCTGAATTCTTGCTTAAATACCTGTTTTGAGTGATTTGATAGAAATAATAGAAAGCTCTGGCTCAGTTTAAAAAAACCCTCTTCCTACCTTGCAAGTAACGGTTTTTCAAGGTTCATTGTCTACCTGTAGGATGCCTCTGAAAACTTCTTGGTCTTGTACCTAATGAACCAAAGTGAACATTTCTACTGTGGATTTATGCATGCATTCATTTCATTAGGTAGCGTTTCATATGTCTTAAAGCTTTATATCAAATGCTCTCACTTTCCTACTAATTGTAGGTGCTCCTTTGTTATAACAATAATAATTGACACTACTACAAAGCAGGAAGATCTACCAAAACTGGGAGCTACCATGTATTTTTAATGAATCTTTTTGACTTATCAGCCCTTTCTGCATCAATCTGGGGGGGCTTGTGTTGTTTGGTTTGTTGTTTTGTTGGTTTTTGTTTGTTTTTTTTTAAATTGGAGTTAAATAATTGAATAAAAGCCTGGTGTGTGGTGACTTTATCTAGCGTTTTGTACGTATATCAAATTTCTTGCATGGTTCTCTTACGCTCTTTTTACTGAGAATCATCTTCCTATAAAGCATTGTCTTCAGGGAGGTGTCATATACTTAATTAATACATTTGCTGTGTTGGAGGAACCAACTATCTTGAACCTGAAATGAATCTTCAGTTCTGCTTACCCATTAGAGCCCCAAAATGTATCTAATTTTTTGTTTCAGGAGTCTGCATTTTCAGTACTGTGTCTTTTTAGTAATTTTTCAACTTATTGGTGGCCTTGTGTTATCAAAGCCAATTCTGAAAGATTGGAAGTGAAAATTCTTTTGGTTAGATTTCATTGTGGAATCTTGTAAGAGTCTTTGGGTTTTGTTTACTTTTTTTCCCCAAAAAATCTAGTTAGCTTCAATTTTTTTGTAGATTGAATAGAGAGAGATTATTAGCTCTTTATAATTTGGTTAGCTGTGAACTTTTGAAGTAGTTTTTTCTCCAGTGACTGTGTCCAGTGATCTCTTCTAAACTTTTTTTATCATAGTGCCTATGAATATCAACTGAAGATGGAGAAACTGTTGTGAAAGGGAACACACAAACACTTAAGAAAGGGAGACGTACTTTGTACGACTGACAGAACACAACAGATGAAATCTGTCTGTTGCACAGGGCTCAGGGACATTGCGAGCTCAGATATTCGGGATACTTTACAGCTGGGTAGGCCAAATAGTCCCTGTAGAATATTTCTGTGGTGTTTTTAATTGTCTTTTCCTTCTGGAATATCACTGCCTCAGAAAGGTTAATTAATTTAACTAGTCCTTCATTGAACTTTCTTCGGGTTAAGGAAGACTTTGAAAGGAATATATTCAGGAGAAGAGGAGCATCTTTGACAAGTGGCATATTTATAAAAATTTTTTCTCCTTATGCTGACTTACAATGCTACTTTTTTTCTCTCTTTACCCTTTTTCAAATAATACAAAATAGTTGGGGAAAAACAGTCAAAAATTGTTAAAAACAGTCCAGAACTAATACCTGGATTTGATTATTACGTGAAACTCTCTTTCTTTGCAGTATTGCTGTAAAGCACAGTTACCCTAACAATTTTTTTGACTTCTTATTTGAGTGTTGGCATTTGGACTATTCAGCCAATGCTTCGTGTCTGTGTGAAGCCATGGGAAAATATATACAGTTGATTGATGTGTTAGAAATAATGTGCAGTAACATGAAAATGACACTAATGTAAAAAGGGCTAGCGTAAGGTTGTTCTAGAGTTGAATGTTGAGCTACACATTGAAACTCAAAATAGAATTTGCAGAGCTCAGGCACACAAAACAGCCCAAGTTTGAAACAGAGAACCAAGGAAGAAAGGTATGAAATTAAATATATTTAGAGGATTTATCTATAATTTAAATGTGATTTTTTTAAAAACAAAAAACTTAAACTAGGAGGAGTATTTCAGGTGCTAATTAATTTTGTTAATTTTCAATGTTCTTAAATATTGATTTTAAAAAAATGTGGTTTTCTATTTCAATACTTCATAGGCTTCAATAGCCAACTATAAATCTTGAATTTAACATTTGTCACTGACTTAACAGAGCAGACTCCCACCCCAGTTTAGGTCTTTCCGTTTCTTTAGTTTCATTATTACATATATGTGGGAGTGGCAAGAGGAATATGTATAAACAAACTGTTAGAACCTTTAATGACATAGGTCTCATATGCTTAAAACTCTATATTGGGCTCGAGCTCTCTTCCCAGTTACTGGGGTACTACTTTCTCATCCAGTAACCTGGTCTGGTCTCACAGTTGACCCTGCTCTGAGCAGCAGGTTGGTCTAGAGACCTCCTGAGATCCCTAGTAGCCTGAATTATCCTGTAAGCCTATGATTTAGTTATATCAATTTTAACTTCAGTATCAGGCTTGTTTGTTTACAGTATGTAAATATGAATATATGAATAATAATAATAATATCAAGCGTATTGCTTTGGTTGCCTTGAAAGTCAACAGTGCAGTATATATGCATACGTGATTTTTAGGAAAGCAGTCACATGTTTCTTTTTAAGACAGATTCTTCTTTTAAATTTTATTATTTCTGAATGGGTTTATTTTTTATTTCTTCTTAATTTTAAAAAGTTTTGTTACAAATCAAATATATAAAACCATTTGCTGATGGCTGACATTGTTAAAGGAATAAGATGTCAGAAATTTTACAAGATAAAGTAACTGCTTAAAAATTGTGCCATAGGTACAAACATTTGCTAACAAAATTTCTGAGATCATCCTTAAACAACTGCTATCATCACTACTTGTTCTTTGCAGGGGATGGAGTGCTAGATCTCTCTACAAAGAAAAGCGCAAGGTTGGAAGAACCAAAATATGATCCATTGTGTTCTGAAAACTCAGTGTCTGGGTAAGCAACGTTTAGGATTCTCTTTGGCTTTTATAAAAGGCAATCCAGGTTTCTTTTCTCTGAAGTCAGGTTTTATGTTCATAACATATTTGTATATACTGACACACACATGTGGTTCCTATTTTGCTTTCAGAAGAATTCTTGTCACTCATAAGTGTGTGTCTATGTATATATCATATGTTTCATTTGTCTTTTTCCTTTTTTTCTGTTTAAAGAAAAGTTATCAGAACAATCACCAAACTTTAGTTCATGTTACTAAAAATGAACTGAAAATTGATTCCATAACACATTAAAAATAACAGGATAGTAGAAGAAAATGTAAATATATTCTTTCAGAGTTTATTTAGGAAACTTCAATTTTGGACAAAAATGACCATGTTAATATTTAGATTTAAAATATTCTTCAACTAACATGAACAAATTAAATGACTATTATCTATAATATTCCTCAATAAGAGAGAGAGAGCAAGCGCGCGAGAGAGAGCTCTTAATCATCGTACTTCTACTTACATCATGGTTCTGACTATGGTGTGTGGTGGCAAATGGTTAAATTTCTTTATTCAGCAAGAAAAACGTTATTGCATCTGCTGAAAGCTACCACAAAACTAGTGAAACACATTGTTTTGTTGGATTTTGTTATGATCTTGGCATCCTCCCATCCACTAGCCATAGCAGGACCCTTTTTGTCACCTGTACGTCTTACCAAATAACTTATTACAAATAGGACTACAATAGCAGTATTTGTTGAATGATGTAAAATTGCATTTTATTAATTTGCTGATATGAAGAAGTTTTAAAATGAATATGACTTTGTAATTAGAGAGCTGTAAATAGTGGCTAGAAGTTTTTAACAGTGTGTTTTATTTTACCAAAATGGACTTGATTGTTAACTACAGCACTTTATCTTATTGTTGTAGAAAGCCTAGTTTTGTGTAAGTCTGGGATGTTTGTGTGTAGTTATGTACTTATTGCTGCAAATTTTCTATGAGGGGGTTGACTCTTTTATTACTTGTTTAGCGGTAACGTCACGTTTCTACTAACAAAAACTCCTTCAGGATTTGGGTATTTAACGGAACGTTAATTGTATAATTAAAATTATAACAGTGTTGCTCTGCAAGCATGCGAACAAGGGAATATAGCAAGCACATGAGAATATTATCAAATACTGAGCTAGGATATAAAGTTCTTGGAAGGGCTGCTGTAGAAGCCACCGTATGATTTTTGACTCACTGTCCTACCAGAACTGTAACATTTTGCTAGGATAATCATTTAACTACCACATCTCAAAGGCTTAAAAGTATCAGAAGCAGTGATGTTACCGAAGCAAGGAGTATAATAAAGGAGTGGACCCTTCCCTTCCATAGCTGTGTGAGAGTCTCTCATACATCAGTTTACCATCGTTTCATTCCATCCATCCAGGAGACTACACAGACACAGAGAGGACTATGTGGAAAGAAGTGCTGAGTTTGCAGATGGTTTGCTCTCAAAAGCTTTGAAAGACATTCAGTCTGGAGCACTGGACATAAATAAAGCAGGCATACTTTATGGCATACCTCAAAAAACTTTACTTCTCCACTTAGAAGCCTTACCAGCAGGAAAGCCTGCACCTTTTAAAAACAAAACTCGAGATTTCAATGATAGTTATTCATTTAAAGACAGTAAAGAAACTTGTGCAGTCCTACAAAAAGTAGCCTTGTGGGCAAGAGCTCAAGCAGAGCGCACAGAAAAAAGTAAGCTCAGTCTACTTGAAACCTCAGAATTAAAATTCCCAACAGCTTCCAGTTACCTCCACCAGTTAACTCTACAGAGAATGGTCACTCAATTTAAAGAAAAAAGTGAAAATCTACAATATGAAACTTCAAGTCCTACTGTACAATTAAAAATTCCTCAGCTAAGAATAAGTTCTGTGTCCAAACCACAGTCTGATACTGCTGGTCTTCTGGATGTTATGTACCACGTTTCTAAAACCTCCTCAGTCTTAGAAGGATCAGCTCTTCAAAAATTGAAAAATATACTCCCTAAACAGAACAAAATTGAATGTTCTGGACCTGTAACTCACTCAAGTGTTGACTCCTACTTTCTGCATGGGGACCTCTCTCCTTTGTGTCTTAATGCTAAGAATGGGACAGTAGATGGAACCTCAGAAAATACAGAAGATAGTTTGGATCGTAAAGATAATAAGCAACCAAGAAAAAAACGTGGCCGCTATCGGCAGTACGATCATGAAATAATGGAAGAAGCAATTGCAATGGTAATGAGTGGGAAAATGAGTGTTTCCAAAGCACAAGGAATTTATGGGGTACCTCACAGCACTTTAGAATATAAAGTAAAAGAAAGATCTGGAACATTGAAGACTCCGCCGAAGAAGAAACTCCGATTACCAGATACTGGCTTATTTAATATGACAGATTCAGGGACTGGCAGCTGCAAAAATAGTAGCAAGCCTGTGTAGAATAATTGTTAGCGAATTGTTTTGTGTGTGTGTATGTATGTCTGTATACACACACTGTGTGAGAAATACATATGCTCACTCTGACAGAAGACGTGAAATTATACAGTTCAAACACCACATACATGCCTTTTGAAAAATAGTTTTATTCAGGGTTTTCACTGTGGACAGAATTATAGAGTTGCTCACTTAATTCTGATAGTGTGTATTTAATATAATCCTTGTATAAATAGGTGAAAAGATTCAGGTTTTATTTAGTAGTCAATAGCATAAAGATGTTTTGGGAAAACAAGTATTTGTCATGTGAAGCATAATTTTTAATTGGTGAAGAACCACTCTACCCATTCAATAATCCATCTTATTACGGAAATACACAACCAAGGGTTAGCAGACTTTTATACTTCACAGAATACTTGCAATAAATTGTAAGTAACTCAGATTATACAAATCAAGGGATTTTTTTAAAAAGCTAGTTCCTTACAAGGAAGTGGATTTGTGAAGTATTAGTAGGATATAGTACATTCTGTGAAAGAAAAAAGTTCATCGTTACTTAAATATCCAATACAAGTAAGAAAAATATTTCATTACTAAAAATGTGTGTTTAGCAGGCATAAACTGCATTTTTTTATCATTTTAAGAAAATTTTGTTGTTGGTTTAGAAAGAAATTGGTGTTTACAAAGTGTACACTTATGAAACCTGAGAAATTACTGTAGTTATAGAATTATTAAATATGAAATAAGATGGAATACTAAGAGCATAAAATAATTTAAACTTTAACATAATTTTCCTTTTTAGTTTGACAAATAAGGTAACTTGTAAGGTTTAAAAAGAAAGTGGGAATGCAACTTAGAGCATGTTCATAATGTGCACAGAATGAGCTTGAGAATGGTTTGGGTTTGTTTGGGTTTTTTGTTTAAACGTGCTGGTTAGTTGATGTTATATGACTACTTAAAATTTATTTAAGGATTGTGTCACACTCCTATTGAAAAACCTCACTGTAACTGTAATGTATTTGCTGCTGTGACATTTCAAAACATTTTCAGTTTATCAAAATGAATACCAAGTTACATTATCATTTTGCTAATAACCAAATTTGCAGTTCAGGGTCTTGATAGAAATACAAATATTAAACAGTGAAGCTGTTTTGAACTTTCAATAATATAAATTCTTTATAAATTTGGTAGTTAGAAGTTAGGCAGTTCACTTTAAATACGTAACTTTTAATAGAATTTAGGGGAGACCAATTGCATTCATATTGCAGTTTTTACATGAATTTCAGAGTATTCACATTGGACTTTATATCATACTTGATTTTTTTGTGTAATATCGCAAAGTATCTGTCTACATATGAAGAATGGGGGCTTGCTTCATACATTTAATACTGAACATCAGTGCCCTTTTCCTCTCAAAATGTATTTTTTTTCTGTATGCATCTAATTTGGCATAGAAAAAGACTTTTCTCCAACTCTTATACATTTGGGGCACATGCATACATTTTTTCCCCCACTTAAATTTGCATGTGTATAGGTTTAATTATACAAATGAAACGGGACATTAAATACATATGGGCCACATCAGGTAATTTGATTTATAGATAAACTTGCCATTAAACTCAGTGGAGAGCATACTGCAATATTGATGGCAAAGTCTGGCCCATATTAATGCTACTAAAAAATAACAACTTCCATTTTGAAACTGCACAACCAGTGGCTCAGTTCTTTGGTCTCTCAGATCTATACTGAATCTTCTTCAGTGATTAAGGTTTACTTGCATATTACAGAATGAATCCTTTTTTTAAGCAGAACTGTACCTGATAACAAGGAGGTCACGAAAAAGCAGATGTCAGGGTCATCTTTCATTTTAAAAGAATTAAGCCATATTTTGTGAGGGCCAGAAGGATTAATTTGTGAATATTTCCCCACTGAAAAATGAAGTTGAAAAACCTTAAATGTTTCAAGATCTGTCTTTATACAGTTTTACTTGCAAAAATTTTTGGCTTCAATACATTGCCTAGTATTTGTACCATACTGATGTTTTCTACTCCTCAGACAATGTTAAAAATTTGAGTCAGAAGTTTATATTGAAGGCAAGTTACAGTACTCTTTTTGTATCATTTAAAAGATGACCTGACCAAAAAATTAACAGGATTCATAAAATCAGGGATCATTTTACTATTGACTTAACAGTACTCAGTAGTTTTGTATGTAATATTATAATTAATTTTCAACATTTTAGTACTTGTATTTATTTTTTGGTCAGAAATAGTATATTAAAATATTTTTTGATAGTTTATAGATGATACTCAACCTGTAAGTGTTTAAAGGAACAGAATTATTTGTTTCTAATTATTAGGCTAACCTTTGATTACACAAATAAGGAAAGGCAGGGAAATGTGTAGATTCTCCTTCCCCAACCCCTATGTATTCCATTAAATGTCATTTAAATTACACATTTTGAACTGTTTTATAAATTCAGTTACCAGTCACTACTTAGTAATTGACAATTTCTGAAAATTCCTGTTTCAGCAGAATTTTAAATGAAGGCGAAAGCAAGCCCTACATGCTTTCTACTTATTTGAATGTTTCTCAAGTATTTTATATTAAAAAACAGTGCCTCTGTTTTTAGAACTACTGCTCAGTAAAGCTGTTTAAACCATTTCTGGTAGCTAATGACAATTTTATATTAAATTGTATATTAACTTTAGTGAGACTGATTTTTTAGTTGTTTACAGTACAAATACTTGTATTTGTTTTTTAATTGCAGTATTTCCATTGTCGCAGTAATTTAGTAAAACTCTGTGGCTGCCTTGATTTTTGACAGATTTTTGTTAACAACTGATTTTTAGGCAATTAGTTATATTTATGCATAAATCAATTGCACTATAATTCATTAATTATTTATTACAATATTTTCTAATGAATTCCATGTATTTGTCTTGTGTTGTAAATGTACTGTAATTCTGTTTCTTCTTTGTGTTGTTATATTCCTAAATCTGATTGTATGAATTTAATTGTTTAGTTAACGTGTTTCTACGTTGTAATTTGTAGTAAAGCACTTCAATGCTTTTGCACATAAATTTACAACACTGATGTGTGATTGATTTGCTCATTCAGTAAAAAAAAAAAGAAAGAAACAAAAACCTGTACACTGACTCATTTGACTTACTCCTGAGGCACAAGTTTATTAGCAGTGGCATAAGATCAAGAACTTCACAAATTAAGCACATAATGACTAATGTACTATGAGAATTTTATGTATCAGAAATAGTAGCCTTAAGGAAGGATGATTTCTCAGAACTGATGCGTTACTCATAAATGAGACGAAATTCAGAAAACTAATTTTATAGCAGTTACATCCTTCAGTTTGCAGCTAAAAATTATATATTACAGATAATATATAGCTTTTTTGAGGGATTTATTTACTTAGTAAAGTCAGAAAACAAACATTCCTGTAAGACAAATTTATATTTCTATAATAGTTCTATGCTTTTTATATGAGTACTTGAAAGTACGTTCTGTTCCCAGTTTTATTCCTCTTCCCAGTCTGCAAAGAAGTTGGTAGATTGGTATCTTGTCTGTGGCTCAGGCAACAGAGGATAGAACGCTAGGGAGGGACATTTTTGGGAGTCCTCTGATAGTCTTTCCTGATAGTTTTTTGGATTTGTAGAGGAGGCAAAGGTTTACTTTTTTATACATAAAATAATATGCTGAAAGGCTAGTACTTAGCCCTATCACATCTCTGCCTTTGTGCCAATTTTGGACTCCAGTCAGTCCCCACTCCATGGTATTAACTGCCCCTGCCCTTCAGCAAGGAAATAATGTGATTCTATGCTTAACTTTTGTCTTCAGAGGTATTGCGCAGAGAGGTACTGGGGGAGCAGCGTGCATTGATCCTCTCAAGCCCTACATTTCCTACCCGCTCTCTTGCAGTCTTTTTGTGTGTGATTTGTAGGAAGTGTAAGGCTGTTCTGTGAAGGAGTATGCAATTGTGACAGTGATAGCTCTTCCTTCTATGAAATTATTGTTTAAGCCTTTTATCTTGAGGATAGTCTGAACTACTGTGTGACAAGACAAATTTAAAGGACTATAGGAAGGAATTACAGGAAACTAAAATATAATTCCATAATTGTATTGAAAGGCTACTAAAAATGAGTTTGTTTAAATATATGGACATCTCTACAGAGAGACACTTTAAAGAAAATGTGTTGCTTTAATGCTTTAATTTGTTTGCGTAGTAAGCTCTGTTCCCAAATGGCGACCGAGTAAGGGGTCGATGTGTTTTCACAAATTTGGAAAATCATTTGGAGTGTGGTACTATTACAATAGAATAGATGAAGTTAAGTTGTCTTAACTTTAGAAACTAACACACGCTAAGGGAAAGCAGGTTATAGGCGTTACACAAGGGTAGATAACCAGGAAAGAAATCGTATTCGAAGAATGTCCAATGTGTCTGTGATAACCAGGATATTACTTGATACAACAGGTTGATCTCCACATAGCAATTTCAAAGCGGTTTTGAGGCCTTTGGAAATTTTGATGACTGACTTTGAGAAGGCTTTAAGGCTCTGGAAGTTTCTTCCACCAGTGAGCATATTTTAAATAGCAGTTATGGATACAGGTCCTCTACAGTTAAAGCTCTCCAGTGAAACTCCATTAGACATACCTTGCAAGCCTAGACAGACAGAAATATATGTCTAGAGATTCAGTCTAAAAAGACTGTACTACAGCCATCTTTTTAGCAAAGTAGTACTTAACAAATTTACTGTGATTTGCAAACAAAATATTGAAGACCTAGTGCCATGTTCGTTCTTTTTTCTATCTGGCGTTTCAGACATTATTTAATTAAAGTCATGGTGGTAGGGAGGGCAATTAGTTTTTATCCATAGTTCACAAGTGTAGTGATACATTTCAACACCTTGTGCTGAGTTTGTTGGACTGAGTAACACTCAGACTCTTCTCAGTGAAGTGGCGTTTCAAAACCAGTTAAATCCTGACAATGACATGCCCTTGAATAATGCTGTTTTTACTTTAGATTGCAAGTGCAAAGAGGGTTTTTTTCTTTTAAGACTTCAGTTATTCATACTAAATATTACAGGAGAAGGAAACAACATGAGGAATTATTAAGCATAGTTGGCTATTTTTAAGCTCTAAACTTTAAAATCCGAGTGGAACAATAAAAATACACATTTGTATGTATAACTTCCAGTAAGAAACCTGAAGCTGAAAGTTATTATTGATGCTAATAACAATGGGTATGAGCTAATTAATGAATAGGTAACTTTATATAAATATAACACATTAAATTTTAAATATGCTTGTTCCTTGACCAATACAGTTGTAAACCCAATCAAAATGAAATTTTTCCAACGTACAGGCCTAAATGCAAAAAATTAAAGGAGGTAATAGTAGGTCAAAAAGTTAGTGTCATGTTCAGAGTTTGGTGATATGTTTAAAGAATACATACTTTTCTAAAACAGAATTCTTCTAACATTTTCTGCTCATGCAATTGGTTTCAGTAAAACATTTGAATTAGGTGTTAACTATCTGCTGATAGTTGCTATCCAGCATAAGGATTTTGTATTTAATTGAAGAAATATCTGTATTAATTTCTGCCATGGAAAATTTTCAGCTTTTCAATATAAATGATTGATTAGGTAAGTAGTGACATTAGTTTTAATAATTTATAAGAAATAAATTAAATAGTTAAGGTAGTATTTTATAAGTGATTTTATTTTGAACTAATACACTTGAGAACAACTGCTCAGAAGTCTTATTTAGATATAGGCCTACCCTGTATTTGAGATTTAAAGGATATTAACCTTTATCACAGAAGTTATTTATTCCAGTGGTGAATATCTCTGTTTCTGTTTAATGAAGGAATCCGCGTGTGTGTGCATGCGCACGTGTGTGTGCACACGCACATGTGTGTATATCTGTGTCTAATATATTGCAATGAAGAGCCTGTGATACACCACTGCAATTTATTTAAAAACTAGAAGGGAAACTTTTATCTGCAAACAACAGTAACAATAGCAAGTGGCTATTTTTTCCATTTTCTGTTAGCCTATTAAGTGTTCTTTAAAAATAAATATTAAAATGTCTTTAGAAGGATCTTTAAGAGTATCCTGAAGAGCATTCGATACACTTTGGTATCTGAATACCT